ATTCTGATGTGAAAAAAAGGTCTTTGTTAATTAACATTTTACTAATGTTGTAATGATCAGGTAGCTCCACCACCAGAGATAGTCACCAGTCTCCCTGTGCCATCAACCTCCAGTATCAGTTTTCATCCAATCAAGATGTTCAGTAACAGGCGGCAAGATGGCTGCAGCCATACTGAACCTGAAGCAGAAAAGTTTCCTGTGGCAGAGATACCGTACTCATTCCAGCTAGACCATGTATCAACATTGTTTGCGAAAGTAAGTTAAAGTTGGTGTGCAATTTCAAGTACACACTGCAATTAAGAGTAACTTCAAGCAACTTTACAGGGTTGCCAAAAGTCAGAGGATATGGTCAGAGAAAAATAAACAAAATGTTCAAGGTCAGAAAGAAGTCAGATAATTTTATTTTGAGTCAGGGAAAATTGACATAATTTAGCACAGTTGATTTTTATACAGAGCATCTAAGAGTTAGTAAGTTAACCAAATGTCAGTGTTTTTGGTTCAAATACAGAGATGTGATACACTTTTGAAAAGCTGTGATTTACATGTAAGAAAACAGTGTATGGTTTGGAGGGACACCCAAACAAGTGTGTGCTTAAGACAGGTTTCTGCTTAATGGGAGCCCTCCATTAACGAATGTTCAACTGTAGTTGGTTGCATCCTATGTTTCTTTGTAGCTGTCTGTTATACTGGACACAGCGGCTGTACCAGAAGAACTCAAGCCTTATCTGAGCTTGTACCTTGAAGTGCTGTTTGAGTCTCCTATATTGAGAGACGGAGGTATGGCGAGGTGTACATAGTAACCCTTAGTAACCTGTAGCGCTTTGTGGATGGATCCCAAATAGATCGCAAACAGATTCCTTGTATTTGTAGCCAATGTGAAGCCCTGAAATGTCAGTCATCCCCCGCCCTCAGCCTAATGGCCAGGAGATTAGGCTGAGGGCAGGACATGACTGACATTTCAGGCTAGCCAGTGTGTAACTGCCCCTCGTACACCTACAGTACCGGTCAAAGGGATTGCAGCATTACACGCGCGTAAAGCGCGTGTACTACACGCATATTACACGCAGTGTCCACGCACCTTACACGCAAATACATGAAAATGCCTGTGAATACATGCAGTAGATGTGATATTGCGTGTAAAATTACTCGCAGTCGTTCAACTGGAACTCATTAAGTGCAGGTAGTGAGAACGAAATATTAAAAGTGCGTGAAATGAAAACAAAACATTTACGGAGTAACATTTACCGTATTGGACTCCACTGCGATACAGTTTAGTTTTTCGCCTTCTTGCTTCTGGTCATCAAACGTTTCCCATAGAATCGACCAGTTTCCTTAAACCGACTTACCGCTTTCTCGCTTTACAGTAAAAGTATTTTTTTTTCCGTTGTAGTTTCAACAAGCGGCGCCAGCGACAGACAGGCGTGCTAGGATTCACTGAGATAACAGAACATAAACATATAATGTCGCTTTCAATTTTAAATTACAGCAATCAGTGTACTTTAACTCAATCCGAAGATTCATTAAAAATACTTCGTACCCCGAAGCATTCGGGGTTTACTGGTGTTCAAAAGGTTTTCCCGTTGTGTTTTTTTTCTTTTCGTGAGAAACAACAAGGGCGCCAGCGATTGACGAATTGAGGTCTGACGGACACGAAATAACAGTAAAACACAATATTTCACCTGAGATTTTAAGTTAATTTAAACATCAGTTGTCCTTCTTTAAGTTTAAAGAGCCTTTGAAGATTCGTCATTTAATAGTACTCAGAGGCAAAGAAACAACCGAGGGACCTTGGGGCGAGTGGTAGGGGTCGGAAATCGCCTTGATAACCGAGGAATCTGGAGTAAAATGATTGATAAACCAACCAATGAAAACACAGTGTCTCAATGCCTTACGTAATCAACATGCAGTCCAATTATGGTACTTTCCGAACACTTCTTGAAATTCGACTGGCTATGTAAGCACTTTTAGTGCACATAAAACTTTTGTAGAAATGTTTAGTTTGGTAGAATTTAAGGCTACCTGTATTTGAATTGCAGGTCTTATTCCGTATGAACAAGTGGTAGCAGAATTGGCAGCTGACACTCTTGATCAGGCGTCTTGTCTTGGACTCCGGGGAAGAAGATTTATGCCAGAGGAATTTCCACAACTGGCCTGCGTTTCACTCAAGGTTGGCCTTTCATAAAACTTGCATACAGACTAGATCTTTTGATCTCCTTGAAGAGTTGCGGTTATCAGTGACCTGAACCAAATGATTGAAAGACATACTACTCGCGAGCGAATTGATCGCGAGTTGAAAAAAAGGGATCTTTCGTGGCCAAGTGACACTGATTTTTCATTCTAATTCGCCCGTGAAGTTTCAGTGGTATATTTTTTTACGGTCTGCTCTCTTGTACATACAACAGAAACGTTTTGATGAAAACACTTGATTCACTCGTAGCTGCATCGTCATCATCATCACCACCACCACCAGCACCACCCCCACCACTCCCAGCACCACCCCCAGCACCACCAGCCCCACTAAACTCTAAAATCACATGATGTGTCCCCCTCAAATACTTGGCCAAGAAATGAAACGAATTTTTGAAAATGTTTAACACTCCTGTTTTTCTACATTTCAAAGCTTGAAGTCGAGAAGTATGAGAAGGGAATCTGCTGGCTTCAGGAACTGCTGTACAAGACTCAATTCACCAAAGAAAGGCTGGAGATTGTCGGCAAAAAGATGATGAACGATGTTGCGAGGTGAGAATAGTATTAAATGAACCTCTCTACAACGCCCGCCTTGTAGATAGGGGAAAGTGGCCGTTAGTGGAGGTTCGACCGTATTTATTTTGTTTTATTTTACACATGTTCATGGCAAACTATCGTGTTGAGTTTAGTGTTAGTTCTGTATCTTATCAATTATGTTCTTATTTGATTTCTGAACAGTATGAAGCGTGAGGGAAGAACTGTGACTAAAACGCTCATCAGAGACATCGCATTTACTAAAGGTGAAATATTCCTCTTTGAATGAAGCAAATAAGGTATTCGTTCTTGCCTTGTTCGTACCACTGTCATTCTAGCATTTTCTTTATAAAAACTATGACATGTCCTTTAGATAGACAATACAATTTTTATTTCGTTGTCGAGTTAGCGGTTTCATCTAGAAATCACTACTTATCTTAACCATACATGTGTAATTAAAACCTATTGAGAGCCCTTGTTATGGCCATGTCCACTGTTGGTAGCTAATCACAAAGAGTATGATACAGGTATTGGTATATTTAGAAGCAGCGTTTTCAAAAGTCAGTAGTTAGTCGAAACCAAGACGCAGTAAAATATTTCGGTCCAAGTTACGCATACGTTACACGCCGGGGATGCTAACCACAAAAAATTAATATTCCTAAGTTAGCGTTTGAGAAAGTTCCCTTTCTCCCCAAGTCTTAGGTGTTTCACGGTAAAAACAGTAAGGTTGCGTTTTCAAGTTTATACTTTCGAAAAGTGTCCGCTTTTGATGTGAACGGTCATGATTTGGAAACCAAACTTCTGGTGAAGTCGCATCAATTACAATGTACATGTACCGTTTTCAGTGTGGATGGGTTCTTAACGTTTCCATAAAGTAACCTCTGTAAGCATCATATATTTGCGCCCGTTTTCGTTAGTTTACTTGATATTTTGTGCGTGGTTTTGCTTTTCAGAGAGCAATATGTTTTCAGCTAATATGGTTCGACAGTACAGTTTTCTAAACCAGTTGATGACCGATCTGGAAAATGACCCATCTAAGGTTTGTAAACGGGTTACGGTCGAACCTATTATTAAGCGTACAGTTATCAAAGTCACAAAATTATTGTCAGTAAAATACTGTAAATAAAATCGCTATTAACCGGCCACCTTTTGGTCGTCCCGATAAGGGTTTTTCTATTGTCTTTACCCCTATTAAACGGCCACCCAAAATTTAAAAACTTTTAATTGGAAAAGGCGATGGCAGATGAGAGTGCGAAATAGAAGGTGACGAGTGATAAAAACATTATCTCACTCATGTTTATCATGATTGTCTTGAAGTGACTCCTTGTTCACTAAGAAATTAACCCGATGGTACACCAACCTCTATTAAGCGGCCAACCCCTTTTAAGTGGCCACTTCCCATTTCCCCGAGGGTGACCGCTTAATAGGGGTTCGATTGTATCTGTAACGTATCAAGGTCAGAAAATGATGGTTCGAAAAAAATATTTTATATACAGTAGGTATGCAGTGTTCAAAGTGCACCCAGTTTATCCCTGCATTGAAATGGTGTGATACATTAACACCCAACTTCGCATACGATAGTCAGAAATTTATAGTGCGCAACCTCCCTGTAGAAAATGAAATGGCTATATATAGCAAAAACCCTAAAAATCCCTTTGCCGCTGAAAATAACAATGCACAAATGTTGCCTTTCTATTGCTTTGCTCACTCATCTTTTGGTTTCTTTCTCAGGTTATAGATAAAGTCGAGAAGCTTCGTTCAGTATTGACGCAGCCTTCAAACTTGCGTGTGCACGTGGCGGCGGATGTCAATAGACTGCCAGCTAATCCGCATGCTCTGTGGAAAACACAGCTTTTACCCAACACTTCAGCTGCAATCCCCACCAAGTATGGCTTCATTTATATTAGTAGACTTTATTATGCCAGCATAAAATGATGACAGTTCCACTATATATCTCCTGGATTGGTTTTGAAAGTAAATTACGCTGTCGAATTTACAGAGTAGCATTGCTGCTAATTTGTTCGAGCTGTGAACCCTAATAAAAAAATACGAGCTTTCTTTTAAGTATCTGATCTTGTGTATTGCAATAATGTGAAGGCGATTATCTCTCCTGAACATCCGTACACTCGATACGCCGTTGCAGCCAGACCAGAGTTGTTGTGTTTGCCTCACTACTCCATGAGTGGAAATGATTACCGACCAATTGTTCAAGAAACTTGACACAATATTCGTGACTAAGTTTAAATTTGCTCTATTATATCGCAGCAGAGAGGAAGAAACGCCATGACTGATGAAAGAAAAGAAATATCGACCAAAAAGAAAAACATGTGTGACAAATGAAAATGACAAAATTTTACCAGACTAGGAATTTTAAAGTTTTTAACATCCTGTCACAAAATCATGTTTGGTAAACTGCAGTCCACTTCCATCCTTGTAATCCTGTACTTCCTCAAAAGACTTGTTCTAGTTTGCTCCGGTGGGGGGGGGNCCTCCCGGAAGTTTGCTCTGTAGAATCTTTTTATCCAGTTTATTTGTATACTTGGTGATTAGATTTGTCGTTAAATCATTAGTTGGGACACTGACCCATTAACACTACTTCGCTTCTGCAAGAGGTTCACCATTCACTTTGAAAACTCTATTGCAGCATCCCATCTGTCAAAAAATCCAGCGCTTTTCTGTCTAAGAATTCTTTCCATGGCAAGATCGTCGGAGTTGGTTCGGTGGAATCGTCGTTTCTCTTCCAAACTACTCGGTGTATCGACAGTTTTGATCATCCTGACCTCGCTCCCATAATGGTGTTCTTGGAATGTCTTACCACACTGGAGGTGAGTTGTCCAGGGTCTCCCGGTTGTTCACCCATTCACGACCAGTGCTGGCGGGGGAAGGTGGGGGGGGTAGCTTCAGGGTCAACCTTATCAGTAGAGTAGTCAATTGATGTGTCAGTGTAAAATGGCCTTAACACATAAACATGGACTCGTCTCGAGTTTTCCATCATTTCGGAAAATAACAGTTCTAACAAAATCTTATTCCCGAAAAATACTCTTCTGTGAGATATCCTCCTGGTGTTGCTATCAGTACCACGGTCGTATTTTAATACTTTCCCAGAAGATATTAAAAAAGGCATTATGAATCGATAACTTAAACAGTACTCGCAAAAACACTAAAGAACTTACAGAAAAAAATCCGATGAAGTGGGGATACCCTCAAACTGAACCTCTCGCCTGAAGATGTTGTTTAGAAGTTGCAGTTTTTTTTTTCCCTGGACAAGTTGACATTTTCCCCGCTTTTTGCATTAGATTCTCTTAAAATCAATTTGTCTTGTCTTACATTGTCTTCCAGGGCCCAATATGGCGTCAAGTAAGAGGTCTGGGACTGTCCTATGGCTACGGGTATGTATCCTGCGTAGAAAAAAACTTACTTAGTGAATTTAAAGTAAGTGGAAACAGGGTGAGGCTCTTCTCACTAGAATTTAATTGAAATTGTACTTACACAGCACAACCGAAACCAAGTGTGTTTTCCCGTACATGTGATTTCCCGCTCCTAGCACTGGCTGCAAGTTTTGGTTTCGAGTTCTGAATGATTCATTGCAACTGTTGTGATTGGCTAGCTTATCCTGAATTTTTTCCGCGCTTGCTAATTGCAAGCGCGTTTTCCCGCGCCTTGCAACCGTTACACGTATTTTCTTCATGACACAACCAGCTATGTACTTTTATCGTGGTGTGGTCTGGTGAAATTTAAGACCCCGTTAAACCCTCCCGGTTTAAACCGTTTTTCTTTGAAACTGTTCGTAGAATGCGGGCTTATCCAGAGAATGGACTTCTTTACCTATATCTCATCAAGTCAACTCATTTGGTGAAGGCTTACNGGGGGGGGGGGGGGGGGGGGGGGGGGTAGCTTCAGGGTCAACCTTATCAGTAGAGTAGTCAATTGATGTGTCAGTGTAAAATGGCCTTAACACATAAACATGGACTCGTCTCGAGTTTTCCATCATTTCGGAAAATAACAGTTCTAACAAAATCTTATTCCCGAAAAATACTCTTCTGTGAGATATCCTCCTGGTGTTGCTATCAGTACCACGGTCGTATTTTAATACTTTCCCAGAAGATATTAAAAAAGGCATTATGAATCGATAACTTAAACAGTACTCGCAAAAACACTAAAGAACTTACAGAAAAAAATCCGATGAAGTGGGGATACCCTCAAACTGAACCTCTCGCCTGAAGATGTTGTTTAGAAGTTGCAGTTTTTTTTTTCCCTGGACAAGTTGACATTTTCCCCGCTTTTTGCATTAGATTCTCTTAAAATCAATTTGTCTTGTCTTACATTGTCTTCCAGGGCCCAATATGGCGTCAAGTAAGAGGTCTGGGACTGTCCTATGGCTACGGGTATGTATCCTGCGTAGAAAAAAACTTACTTAGTGAATTTAAAGTAAGCGGAAACAGGGTGAGGCTCTTCTCACTTGGAATTGAAATCGTACTTACACAGCACAACCGAAACCAAGTGTGTTTTCCCGTACATGTGATTTCCCGCTCCTAGCACTGCCGGGCTGCAAGTTTTGGTTTCGAGTTCTGAATGATTCATTGCAACTGTTGTGATTGGCTAGCTTATCCTGACTTTTTTCCGCGCTTGCCAATTGCAAGCGCGTTTTCCCACGCCTTGCAACCGTTACACGTGTTTTCTTCATGACACGACCAGCTATGTACTTTTATCGTGGTGTGGTCTGGTGAAATTTAAGACCCCGTTAAACCCTTCCGGTTTAAAACCGTTTTTCTTTGAAACTGTTCGTAGAATGCGGGCTTATCCAGAGAATGGACTTCTTTACCTATATCTCATCAAGTCAACTCATTTGGTGAAGGCTTACAAGAAAACTCAGGAGATTGTTGTAAGTGTAAAGAAGTATGGTTACAATGTATCAGTTAATAATCGCCCTCAGCGAACTAGAATGCAAAAAGGATTCTTTTAAAACCTCTGAACTAAGCCCTTGTATGGTTTGATAAGCTTACCCTTTAGCTACAAATACTGTATTACCCACACGAGGTAAAGAAATGGACTTTTATCTTAGTGAACTAAAAATATGGAAATACGAACTTAAATAATACTTCAAACCACCAGGCTTTTGAAGAAGGAGCGTGTCCGAATTATTTCACTGCAATAAAATGAGAAGGAAGGCGCGTAGCTCTCGTGATCTCAGCGACCAACGTAATAATGGGTGTGTGTGTTATTTTCAGGATGGTTATCTGTCAGGTGCAATGGCGTTTGATGCTGGTGATTTGGAATCTGCCATCAGCAGTGTGATATTTGAAATTATTGAGCGAGAAAAAAGCGTGTCCTCCGCAGCATCCCAGGTAAACGGTGAAAGTTCTATTTATTGTTTATTATTTTAATTACTTTGTCTTTCCACTTGTAAAGAGTTAATGCAATTTTTCTTTGTCAGTGTGTCTGTTAGTTTGTTTATTTGATTTTTTTTACTTGAAAGAGCACATACCTTGACAGCCGCCAAAATCGTGTATAAACTGCTTTTGTTTTCATTTCAGAGTTTGATGTCCCAATTTAGAGACGTAGGTCCTGACTATAACAGGTGTGTATTTCACGTAACAGCTTTTTTGCTCCGTGGAAATTCGTTACGTACATAAATTGCGCTTGAGAAGCTTGAAGTGATTGGAAAAGCGTGCTGTAAAGCCCTAGCCAAACGGACTCTCAAGAAGACGTATCTGTTTGGCCAGGCCGTGCGTTGACTTACGATGACTTGCGCTCACTTCTTTGGTCGAGATCAAATTTGCGCGCAAGTCGACACAAGTTTTTCGCCGCTTGGCCACCCAGCCCAAGTCAACGCAAGTTGAGAGGCGTCCATTAGCCTGTTATTGGCCAATGAAATACACATACAGGATATGTCTGAATTAAAATGGGTTTTTTGGCAACTTGCGTGTACTAGCGAGGAAGTCTCTACGCAATTCCGCTTTGCAGCTGCTTGCGCCCACTTGCGAGTCCGTTTGGCCATGGCTTAACATTTCGTTTTGGCCAGGACTTTTCTTTACGACCGGTTTCTACTTTGTGGTAAGGAGTCTGTTTCCACTGTATGACACCTTGACCTTTTCCCGGCTGCAGGATACAAACCCTGTACCATTCTATTTCTTTTTGTAGCTTGACTGTAAACATTACGTTGATAACTGTTGTTTTTATCATCTCGCAGAACTTTGTTGAGCAAGATTTCTCAAGTCTCTTTGTCTGACCTGATCAGAGTGGCGAAAACGTACGTTGCGCCGTTGTTTGATCCGGCGCAGTCCTCCTGTGCCATCTGTTGTCATCCGTCCAAAGTGGACGAGATAAAAGACGAATTTAGCAGGTGGGTAGAAATGCCTAAAGGCATTGCTAAACAGAGACGAGGTCATCAGATATTTACACAACAAACAGTCCTCTTTAATCTCGCTGATAATGATCCCGAGCGAGAGGAAAAATTTGCAGAAATAAGTCCGGGAAATCTTTGTAAAAAGTAAAGTTCACATATGAGGGATTTTTTTAACTTTCGTGTTGCCTCGCTTGTTGCCTCGTAAATGTACGGTGGTTTCTTATACGCTGGTCATTTTTAGAGCTATTAACATAAAAGATCAAATAATAACAGCACAGCCGGCTGGGAATTTACCTCGTTAGTTCGGCCGTCGGTGTTATATGGGCGTTTTTCAATCGCTTAAAGATGGATTGCGGACGGTTTGTGCCATCGTGATGAGATACACGTACTCTGTGAAAGATCTTAACTTTGAATGCTTAGTGCCGGAATGTGTTTTAACTTGGAGAGACCTTTTGGAGGTAGAATTATATCATTTTATTTTTTTTTGTTTTGTTTTTAATTTCTATTTTCAGTATCAACAAGCCACTTAGTGTGGTCAAATCTTTGGAAGAGGAGTTCACTTGGACTACTTAGAGAACTGTTCTTCCCAATTACATGCACGCACTTGACACGCACGGATCACAGAACGCACGTAACACTCACTGGTTTGTCTGGTGAAGATTGAAAACGAAAAAGAATGTATCTGTCGTGTGGCGCAGAAAGCACCGTTCGCAAGCACCACTGGACATTTCGCAATTATCCCACGAGCAACGCACGAAATATCTGAACTTGAAGCGCAGATCCTAGTACAGTGGAACCCAGTTAATCCGGTCATCAACAGGCCACAAAAATCTGGCCGTATTAACGGGGTAGCCGTATTCAAGGGGTTCTTTAAATAATAAAATGACTGACTGAGCTTTATTTTGGGCCAGAATAAAGTGGCAGTAGTATCGAGGTAGCCGTATTAATGGGTGAGAAGGGGCGGGGGGTCCACTGTTGTTATTTTTTTTTCCCGAGTGATATTTCATGTCTAGTCTTGGTTTGTAGACCAAACCGAGACTAATTGATGATTCTTGAGTAGAAATACCATACCAAATCGACATTGTTCAAACTAGAAACAAGATACAAATGTATGAGATGCTGGACGTTGATATTAACTTACTGAAACCAGATACTTATACCTGGAAAAGTTCCTTAAACTCCTAAAACCTAAACAAATTAAACCTGCGTAACTGGCGGGATTTAGCCCGCGGACTGCTTTGTTTCAGCGGCGGAGTGGTAGGTAGTCAAGTTGAGATCCCTCCTGCTCTAATTCTTGAGTTTCCTTGTTGAATTTCCCGTTCGCCAGTGAACAGACATTTCGGATTGGTTGATGGAGGCACATCAGTCCAATATTGGAGACCCATGAGAATACTTGTATAATGAGTGACGGTGGATGTCGCGCTCTCCCCGCACGCGAAAATTCCTTGCCGGCTTGAGCCTCTAGCGCGCACGGTGCCGCCGCCGAAACAAAGGACTCCCGCGCCAAAACCTGCCAACAATGCAACGGCAAACCTAGTACAAGAAACGTTTGAAGTTGTCCTTCAGTAGCATTTCGGGATATTTACACTCATTGTCCTTAATATATTCTAATCATTGGCGTCACCTACACCACTTTTATATCACGAATTATTGAATATTTTCTTTCATTCCCTGATGATGCCGTAGAACGGCGAAAGCTTGGAATTAAAATGCAGTAGCTCAAGGCCTCAATTGAATCAATATATCTACCTAGTACAAGAGTTTACAAATCTAGCACAATGTAAATTCTAAGTACAGTCCGGTACAAAGTGAACTTTTTTAAAATAACGTCTTTATTGGGTTCGTAACAAAATGGACAGAACTGTCCGTCACTGTGGAAGAGTCCGTAAGGTTAGGTTCGACCGTATACTATTCAACAACAGAAATCAGAACAGAAATTAAGTTTCTTGCATTTTGTCGTATGTAACGCTAACAGGCTCAATGCAATTACATGTACTCGGATTAACCTTTGTCTTTTATATACTGCAAGTATCAGCTGGTACTCTACTGCGACTATCTGCATAAACCCATAAGGATACTGTATCGTGTCTCATTCTTTCTCAACACAAATTAGACTAAACAGAAATTTCAAAAGCCACGGCAATAAGTCAAAGAACTCTGTCTTCCTTAGTTCTTTTTAAAACTCATACCGCCGTACAAGTAGCGTAAGGTCTCTACGTCAAATCTAGAATAGTGCTTACATGAACACAACTACAGCACAATAAACGCAAATTACGAACGAAAAATTGTCCTAAATGTAAGAAGGATTCTAACACGCTGTTCCGTGTGCGGTCAAAAGAAGAGTTATCTGATACAGAAACATCAGATGACTCTGGAATACATTTGCGATGTCAGTATTTCAGCAAATTCAAACCGTCAAGGCGTCATTGATGAGTTTTCTCGCAGCTTTGACAGAATTGCCATCAGTATTACCGGCTAAACGGTCAAAATTGGAAGACGAACAAAACAAAACGAAAAGCTAACAAATGAATATGAACATCCTCGGAGACCCAGGGGCTGCTAGTCGGGACGATGCGATGTTTTCGGGCGAAAGTTTACTTCAAGAGCTTGTCTGCCCTTGAAGCAAACTTTCGCCCGAAAATATTGCTCGCCCGAAAACATCGCATCGTCCCGACTAGCAGCCCCTGGTCTCCGAGAATGAATGAATAATAGCTTGGAGAAAAGCGGGAATGTCAATGGACTTACCCGAAGGACGGACATTGGTTCTCCGGCGATGACTAACACTAAAAAAGACTAAATTAACATTCATCTTATCTACGAGAAATGGTTTCCCAAAATCAGAATACCTTTTTTGTATAATCCACCAAATATTTTCGCTCGTGTGCAATTGGTCTTAACGCGTCACGTGACTGAATATGGCCCAGCTAAAACTGGGGAATATCCGTGTGATATTCTCCAATTTTCAAAACCGCGCGTGTTGCAAAAAATATTCGAAGGTTAATAAACACAATAGCCTTCACTTGAAGCGAAATATGGTCGGATATTTGTCCTTGGACATTATCTTTTCCTCAAAGCTCACAGTTTTCCTCGAGCTAAGCTCTCGGAAAACTTCGGTAGCTCTCGGAAAAACTGTTCGCTTCTCGGAACAGATTTTCGCGCCAAATCGAGGCTATTGTTTAAATAGATATTCTGTATTGATTAATTTTCATATCCGAAAGCTTTGCGAGAAAACGGGCACTTGATCAGTTACATGGAATGTTTTTATAGTTAAAAATAATGCGTCACTGGGCTTAACAGATCTTGACAGTGTTTTTGAGGACATTAAGAATTCTACTCGTGCTTTAGGGACTTTAGGAGCTAAATTGAGTATTTCGGCAATCCACTGAAGTTGACGCGCAGTCTGTAGCCCGTGTAGAGACTATCTCGTTTTCTGTGGCGAGATTGTTGATTACGAATCACGCACTTCTCCTTCTTTAAAATATGTGCGCAAGTAGAATCGAAAACAATAGTGGCAGGGTATTCTGCAGTTGCTCCTCAAATCCCTGCCGTTAGAGCGAAAACCTTAAATCAACAGCTAAACACAATAACCTTATCAGGTTAAATTTGTGTTTATGATGTGCAACAGCGTTGAAGACAGTGATAATATTCC